TTTCTGCTGTCTTCATTGATAAGGAAGGTTGGAACTGAGGCCAGATCTAGTTGGCGCTCTGAGTCTGTGATACGTTGTTTAATAAGTGCTTTGGATTGATTGTAATCCATAGCGAATAGTAGACCTGGAGAAAGTCCCAATGAGGAGATTTTGGATGCTATCGCCTGCTTCCATGTGGATTGGAAGTCATCCTCCATGGTTAGTGGGGCAAGACCAAAGGGTGCACGGGATAGTCTGAGCCAGAAGTTGAGTATGGCCACCCACACCCTGGCCTCCACTCTCATAAAGCCCTTCTCTAGTTACAGGGTGGCATTAGAAACACATTTAGGTACCTGCAAGGCCGATCTCAGAAACTTTGACTGAACCAGCTCTAATGGAGCAAAACGTTATGAAATTACCAGTAATTTCATAACGTTGGCAACTACTTCAAGCCATTAACACCTCTTTGGAGTCTGCTTCTATTCAGTTGAGGCCCTTCCACTCAGCCTTATAATCCAGAATATCAAGGGAGAAAATCCCACATTATCACAGCCCTATATCCCAGAAAGTGCAAAAGCTGGGTTGCAGTTAAACATAAAAAACCCCAAAATTATGGCAACCAGACTGATTGACAACTGGCAAATAGAGGGGAAAAACATGGAGGCAGTGACAGACTTTGTATTTCTAGGTGCAAAGATTACTGCAGACGTAGACTGCAGCCAGGAAATCAGAAGACACTTACTTCTTGGGAGGAGAGCAATGTCCAATCTCGACAAAATAGTAAAGAGTAGAGACATCACATAAGCATCGAAGATCCGCATAGTTAAAGCAATGGTATTCCCCATAGTCACCTATGGAGGTGAGAACTGGACCATAGGGAAGGCTGAGCGAAGGAAGAGAGATGCTTTGGAACTGTGGTGTTGGAGGAAAGTTCTGAGAGTGCCTTGGAACGCCAGAAGATTCAACCAGTCCATACTTCAGGAAATAAAGCTCGACTGCTCATTGAAGGGTAGGATATTAGAGGCAAAGATAAAGCATTTTGGCCACATAATGAGAAGACAGGAAAGCTTAGAGAAGACAAGTATGCTGGGGAAAATGGAAGGAAAAAGGAAGAGGTGGCCAACCAAGGGCAAGATTGATGGATGGCATCCTTGAAGTGACTGGCTTGACCTTGAAGGAGTTGTGGGTAGTGACGGCCAACAGGGAGCTCTGGCGTGGGCTGGTCCATGAGGTCACGAAGAGTCAGAAGTGACTGAACAAATGAACAACAAAATATCCCAGAATATCAAGGGATAACATCCCACATTATCTATGTGTGGACTCAAATAATCCAGTTCAAAGCAGATACTGTGGGATTTTCTGCCTTGATATTCTCAGATATGGGGCTGTGTGGAAGGGCTCTTGGGTAATTCTGGCTTGCGAGGAGCATGCTTTTTTTTTTCCAGTGTTCAGCTTAAGTGTTCGGCAAGTTATAGCAATCATGGGTCAGGATCATTACTGGCCAAAGTTGTCTCAGGAATCCATGGCCATATGACATTTTAGAAGTGAATGTCTATCCGAAAACAATTGCTTTACTTCTTCCAAGTATAATAGGGATCTATTTTTAAGACTGGGGTTAAAACAAGTGTGTATTTGAAATAAAAAACATAACTGTGTTTGAGTGGAATATCAGTATGCAAAGCAGTATAGGAGCATCTTGGGGCCCATCCACACAGACCACAGGTTGGGAACCACTGCTTTAATGACTCCATCACATTAACTCATTCACCATAGCATCCCATGCTTATTCTGTGAAGCCATTGCTTTACAGAATAAGAACAATGTTCAACTCTTGACTGCATGTTTTAGTTCTATCCATTGACAATATGGATCATAGACTTCTCCTGAATGAAGCTCTGACATCACTTTATGGAGTTTTCTCCCTCTGCTGATTTGGCTCTGGGCAGGTTCGTTGGGAAAATCTTTTGGAGCCATTGAGTCTGAGTCAAATTTATAGTCAAATTACTGCATTAGTTTTGAAACAGGCTGCCGGAAAATACTTTGAAATGCTAAATTGAGTCCCTAAGTGCTTGAGACAGAATGAGGCCTCCCAAAAGACCTCATCAGAGCATATTAAGATTTCTTGGTTAATTTGTTTGTTTTAATGTATTTATTATATTTGATGAATATGCTATTGTATTCTGCTGCTTAGTTAGATAATCAATTCACAGCCCAGCAGAAGTATCTGGATTTTGGTGGATTTAGTTCTGTTGACCACCCAATGGGACTAAGACTAGAAATAGGAAGTAGAGGCTGTGTGAAGAAATTGATCTTCTCCAAAAATAGATTGTATGGTTTGGGTTAGGAAAACACTATTTCATAACACTTACAATAAAGCAGCTGGATGTCATTAGTTGAGTAAATTTGTAATCTTGATAGAATAATCTTAAAACAAATTCCTGGGACAGTTATTAGTAGATAACAGCTTCTGGGCCAGATTTGCCATGTGAGAAGTACCCATCCAGTGCCACGTTCCTGTGCCAACACATAAGCATGGATCCTTGGTTTGGGAGTTGTAGCGAACATTATCTTGGCATTTCTCTGAGTTACTCAGATCTTTCAACAGTCTTGTGCAAAACTGTCTCAGCCAGGGTCACGTCATAAGACTTCTGGAGAATTCAGTCTTGCTCTCCCATGATGTCTTATATGTTTTTAAATTGTTTTTAAATTGTGTTAGATTTTAGCCTGTTCTTGTAAGCCGCTCCGAGCCCCAGGGAGTGGCGGCATATAAGTTTGAATTATAAATAAATAAAATAAATGGTTGTGTTCTTAAGTGTTACCTACACTGCTAGTTTTTTGTGCCACTGTTCCAGTATATTCCAAGATCCCTTGTTTTATTTTAAGAGGAGCACAGTGTGTTTTACATTTTACAAATGTCCCCCTTTCTCTGCTATCTCCATATTTTCAAATAGCCTCATGAAATCAACCAATTTTAATAGTTTTATTCCTACTCCTAGAATTCCAGATATTCCGAAGGATTAACTATTTTTGTGTAATGCATGGTTAATGGTGGAACAATAGTAGAGTCAGTGGAGCAGTTAGGGAAACTAGCCAAAATAATCTTCATAAGAAAACAGTTCTAACCTGCTAAAGTGGTTGCTAAAGAAGTAGTACCTTTTGGCACCCTGAAAACCAAATTTTAAACTTTGTTTAACTGAAAACAAAAACACTATGTTGTGTATTTTCTTTCCAAAAAACCCCAATATATTTTCTGTTCTGAAAAACGAAACATATTCTTGATAAAATACTAATTACATTGTTTTTTGATGCTATGGTTGTCCAGTTTTAGTCAGTGGCTCATTCTTTAAAAGAAAGTAAATTAAAAGAGTAATTTGTCATGTAAGAGTTATTTATTTATCGTTTCATCCGCAACCATTGTATTACATTTCTAACAGAACAAAACAAACAAACAGATAAAAAAACCCACAAATTTTGCAAACTTGGTAGCTGATTAAATGTCCTTTGACCAGTATCTGGCTGCTTGGAGTGCCTCTGGTGTTGCTGCAAGAAGGTCCTCCATCATGCATGTGGCAGGGCTCAGGTTGCATTGCAGCAGGTGGTCAGTGGTTTGCTCTTCTCCACACTCGGATGTCGTGGATTCCACTTTGTAGCCCTATTTCTTAAGATTGGCTAAGCATCTCGTGGTGCCAGAGCACAGTCTGTTCAGCGCCTTCCAAGTCGTCCAGTCTTCTGTGTGCCCAGGGGGGAGTCTCTCATCTGGTATCACCCACGGATTGAGGTGCTGGGTTTGAGCCTGCCACTTTTGAACTCTCGTTTGCTGAGGTGTTCCAGCGAGTGTCTCTGTAGATAGATAGATAGATAGATAGATAGATAGATAGATAGATAGATAGATAGATAGATAGATAGATCCAAGAGTTAGGTAGAAACTGGGAAGGAGAGGCTCAGGACAATTTTCCAAAGTTTTACAAATATAGGGCAAAGTGAACAATCAGAGTAAGAATAAAAGTGAAAAAAGAATTGTGTGCAACTGGGATGCTGTGAGCTTTCCGGGCTGTATGGCCCTGTTCACACTTGCCTCAAGCAGACAAGAGTTTTTTCTCCCACCCTGGACATTCCACAGATATATAAACCCCACTTGCCTAGTTTCCAATAGACCTCACAACTTCTGAGGATGCCTGCCATAGATGTGGTCAAAACGTCAGGAGAGAATGCTTCTGGAACATGGCCAGACAGTCCGGAAAACTCACAGCAACCCATTGAGTCCGGCCATGAAAGCCTTTAAATTGTTTGAAACTTGGTGTATATGCTTCAGAATCTTGGCCTGCCCATTGGGTTTAATGTTTGATATAATTAGACCTGACCATCTTAGTATTGTATGTTTGATATTTGAGATGGGAATTCAGAGCATTATTGATTTCACCTCTTTTAAATTTCAGCAGCTTCCCAAGAGACAGAGTGAGTTAGTAAGGATGCAAAATATGTAAGTAATATATTTTACTAGCTAAAGAGTTTAGGCCAACATTTTACTTTTCAATGTTTTCTTTTTTGGCGTAAGGGATGATCCTGCTGTCTGCTTTTGGTGACTCCTTGTTTTTATATCTCTTTCTGTCTCTTCTTTCTCTTAATTGCCTTCTTCACACTGTGAGCATACTAGTAACTCTTCTTTCTCCTCCTTTTGTAAAGGTGTACATCTCATGGGCTTGTTGGTCTCTGGCTAGGACTTAGCTCTAAATACTGTCACAAGTGATATTGAGAAGGGAAAGCCCTTGGCCATAGAGATGAACAAATAAAATTGATGTCTCTAATGATCCTGTAGATGCGTTGTCCTGTTGTGGCAAATGTACACATAACAGTGCTGTACGTTAGGGCATTAAATAGCTGGAAGTTCAGCCTGGCTTGTTAGCATTCTGTTTTGGTTAAAGCAAGCCAATGTGTGGCAGACTTTTGCTCAGCTAGATGTGAATGAAAGTTGTGTAAATCATGGCGAATGATGACAGTAACAAAAGCATTTTCTGTTTTAGACCCTTCGCAGGTGTTACAGTCGAGTGAAGGAACATGGTGTTGGGAAAAGGAAAAGCAGTTACACATTTGAACAGTTGGAGCAAGTGTTTGGTCAAGGAGGATGGGATTCTCAACCTTGCCAACCAGTGCTTATCAACAGTAGTGGCCTATACCAAGAGCTTGAGTCAGATGGCAGTACAATGGAGGAGTACTCACAGGATGAATGGGGGAACCATAGTCAGGAGCTTCATTGCTACCAGTCAGGAGACCAAGAAGTGGGTAAGAAATGCTAAACCTTGCCCATACTCTGACATTTTATTTGTCTTTGCTGGGGTTGTGTGTGTGTGTTTAATTCATTGCTAATGACATAATGCAGCTGCTATTCCTGTTTCTGCTGACTGGTATAGCATGCTGATATGCAAATAGAATATCTGTGTTCTGCTCTCCACATGTTACCGTTACGGTAACAGGTGTCTTGTCAAATTAGGCAATGAAAAAGTGCAGAATGCTGTAGTTTGGGTGAGAATTGTGGGACTCGCACAGCATCTGGATGCATATTGCCTGAACTCTATCTTGCCACTGTCCAATGTACCTACATGCTGTCCGGAGCATTTCAGAGATATTTGGGTTTACATAATGCAGAGAGCTTTTTGTGAAACAATCTTCAACTTAAAAATTTTAATAGTTTTATTCCTACTCCTAGAATTCCAGATATTCTGAAGGATTAACTATTTTTGTGTAATGCATGGTTATCGCGTTATATGTGTAATGCATGGTTATCGCGTTATATGATAAGTTTCAGATCTTGAATTTGAGTACAGTATTCAGAACTTTGCTGCAGACTGGATCATAAAATCATAGGATTGTAGAATTGGAAGAGACCTCATGGGCCATCCAGTCCAAGCCCATTCTGCCAAGAAGCAGGAAAATTGTATTCAAAGCACCCCCGACAGATGGCCACCCAGCCTCTGTTTAAAAGCCTCCAAAGAAGGAGCCTCCACTACACTCCGGGGCAGAGAGTTCCACTGCTGAACAGCTCTCACAGTCAGAAAGTTCTTCCTAATGTTCAGATGGAATCTCCTTTCTTGTACTTCGAAGCCATTGTTCCGCATCCTAATCTCCAGGGCAGCAGAAAACAAGCTTGCTCCCTCTTCCCTATGAGTTCCTCTCACAATCTTATTCCTTGTTGTCACAATAATAGATACGTATTATAGTGTCATGGGATTCAACACATGGGAAATTCAAACCAAATACAAAAACAGTTGTTACTCATAAATGGAATTAAATATAGGATGAATAATACTAATGAGAGGTGCCAGATTCAATTCCTCTGAATTGTTTATAATAAAATGCTGAAGAACTAGAGTTTTCATTACAGCAGCATTTAGATGTATTGTTGACCCTCCACATTTGCAAGTTTTTTATTTCATGAATTGGATTATTTGTTTCAGCTTTGAGTCCTCTTTGGGGGAGATAAAGCGGGGTATAAATATAATAATAATAATAATAATAATAATAATAATAATAATAATGCCTAAAGACCTAAGTCTGCACTTAAACACCATTGGCATTGACAAAATTACCATCTCTCAGCTGCAGAAGGCCACCTTACTGGGATCTGCATGGATTATTCATCGATACATCACACAGTCGTAGACACTTGGGAAGTGTCCGATGTGTTATCCAATACAACAGCCAGCAAAGTGTCTGTTGTGGACCCATCTTGTTGTGTTTCAAATAATATTAGTAATAATAATATTTTTTTAAAAAAAACTCATAAATCACGGGGAGCCCCCAGTGGTGCAGTGGGTTAAAGCACTGAGCTGCTGAGCTTGTTGATCGAAAGGTCACAGGTTCAATTCCAGGGAGCGGCGTGAGCTTCCGCTGTCAGCCCTAACTTCTGCCAACCTAGCAGTTCGAAAACATGCAAATGTGAGTAGATCAATAGGTACCGCTCCGGCGGGAAGGGCGCTCCATGTAGTCATGCCGGCCACATGATCTTGGAGGTGTCTACGGACAACGCTGGCTTAGAAATGGAGATGAGCACCACACCTCAGAGTCAGACATGACTGGACTTAATGTCAGGGGACTACCTACCTACCTACCTACCTACCATAAACCACTGGGCCCTGATCTTCAGCCATGCCTCTTTCTTTCTCCACCAATGCCTCAACCTCATTTTCTTCCTTCTCCTAAGTAGCAGCGCTCTGCTTCCCCAGGCAATATCAATGATGCACTGACTGAGATTCCACCTGAACATTAGGAAGAACTTCCTAACTGAGAGAGCTATTCAGCAGTGGAACTCCTTGCCCTGGATTGTGGTGGAGGTGCCTTCTTTGAATGCTTTTAAGCAGAGGCTGGATGGCCATCTGTCAGGGGTGCTTTGAATGCGATTTTCCTGCTGCTTGGCAGGGGATTGGACTGGATGGCCCACGAGGTCTCTTCCTACTCTGTGATTTTATGAGGCGCAGACAGACACAATGTGCAGCAGCAGCAGCAGGAGAAGGAACAGGCCCTCACAAGCCAGGAACCAGTGTGGTAGCTGAGGTGGAAGCATGATGAACCTCTTCCTCTTCCTGCTACACACGACATGTGTCTCATGTGTCTCTGTATAATCCAAGCACTAGTTGGGATGTTCAAGGTGATGCATTAGCTCCAGGAAGCACTGTCAATTCCCCGTGCAGCAGCAGGAAGAGACCTAAGGATCAACTGTGGGACAAGAAGGAGGAAACAGTGGAGCCCTGGTCCCCTGCTACTTCCTTTATGGTGACTCTTCCTTCCAGAGATGCTACTTGCATTTAGGAGAAGGGTCTGAATCAGGGCTGTATTTGGGCACCTCCTCGTGAAGAAGAGGCCTTGGTGAAGCAGTAGCAACCTCCACAGCCCTTAACAGTCAAGAGTCACCCTAGAGGTGAGAAAAGCGGTATATAAATGCTGTAAATAAATAAATAAATAAATAAATAAGAACAGTAGGAGAGCCAGGAGAGAGGATGCTATAGTTTAGTTCCGTGATTCTCAACCTGTGGGTCCCCAGATGTCTTGGTCTTCAACTCCCAGAAATCCTACCAGCTGATAAACCGGCACTTATAAACCACTTATCTAGTCCCTTTTGTACAGTGCTGCTGCCTGGCCAAAGAAGAAGAGAAAGGAGTTCTGTGGTCAAAGCCCCCCCCCCCCCTTGCAAGGGAGAGCACACCCAGCAGAAGGTTCTGGGTTCAAAGAGGCGGCAACCATGTAAAATATTTGGGGAGGTGTGTTTTTTTTTGCTTTCACAGAGGTCTTGCACCCCTCGCTCCAGCAAATGTGAAAGGCCAACATATGTTGCTTGACACTATTCGTGACAATTTCTGACAATGTTATAGACAAGTTGTCATTGCATTTTAAGTTATTCATGATCTTACTTTTTAGATGAGATCCCTACTATGAAAAAACCAGTGAAGATAAAGCAAGAATCTTCCGAAGAATCCCAGTAAGTAGCTTAAGTGTTCCCTGTCTGTGACTCGAACTTATTTATTTATTTATTTATTTATTTGCGGCATTTATATGCCGCCCTTCTCACCCCAAAGGGGACTCAGAGCGGCTCACAAGATATAGATATAGATACACACACACATACACACACACAATATATTAAATTATTAGCATAGCACAATGTCAGTATTAAATATTACTATATTTGGTTCTGGCTCAACTTACCTGTCTGAACGTATCTCCCCTTACAAACCATCAATAACTTTAAGATCGTCTGGGGAGGCCCTGCTCTCGGTCCCTTCGTCAGAAGTACGTTTGGTGGGGACGAGAGACAGAGCCTGCTCAGTGGTGGTCCCTTGGCTATGGAACGCCCTGCCTAGGGAGATCAGATCTGCTCCCTCACTCTTAACGTTTTGTAGGCAAGTAAAAACATGGCTGTTCGAGCAAGCGTTCACAAATGCAGAGTAGCTAATATAGGAAATCGAATGACTTGACAGTGGAACTGGACAAAGCTTGATAATAAGGAGACGCTAATGATATTGTTTTTATTGCTCTTGCGGTGTATTATACTGTTTAATGTCTTAATTTATATTATGTTTTATGTGTACTGATTTGTTGGAAACCGCCTTGAGTCGCTGATTAAGGCTGAGAAAGGCGGTATACAAATACAGTAAATAAATAAAAAATAAATATTGTACTATACCATTATATGGTAATGCTACTTGTAATATTACTTGTAATATAAATATATTATTATAATATATTATTAGTAATAGTATTATATTGTATTACATTATAATATCATAAATATTGTATGTATATACAATATATTATATTACATTATGTTGTATTATACTTTTAGCATAGCACAGGAGACAAGATGGGACTGTCTCCCGGCCCCCTCTCTCTTCACTCTGACCCAGAGCAGCAGTTGGTGGTAGGGGAGGGGTCCCCAACTTACAGCATATGATTTTGGGGGAAGGGGGATGGGGCAGAATCTGATCATACTAACAGTAGTCACAGTGTTCATCGCACTGCATTTAATCAAAATTGAAACCTCTAAGAAAGCAAGACCCTCACACTCTGTTACATGTGCTATTCACAGTCTGGTTGGCTGTGTTGCAAATCTGTTTCTTTGCCAATCTTAGAGAACTTCTTTCTCACCTCATCAGGTCTTTCTTTTTTGTGATTTAATATAGAAGTTCACCATAACATTCAAACAACAACACGACGTATTACAGGTCATACATATTCCCAACGCCCCTATCCCAGACAAAATATAACCTCTTCCCCACACCCATGCACTCTTCACCATGACTTTCACCACTAAAGCACTATGAAGTCTTTAAACCAATTTATCTATCCTAGTCATCCTAAATTCCTAAAAGTACTCCTTTATGTCACTGACTCTCCACTCAGATATGTAATGGCCAACTTCCACTTTTGTTCCTCCTGATATTTAGTTAATTTGGCCATTAACATATATTCCTGCATTCTTTCCTTCCAATCCTTTTTAGTTAAACTTTTTTCTCCTTTCCAGTCTCTGACTATGTTTAATTGTGCAGCAACAAAGCTATATTGGTATATTACTTTGTCCTTTTGTCCTTTTTAGACACAACCCTGGGCTTTTAAAAATCTTACTATGTAGCAATTTGTTTGTCTCCTTAGTTACCTTATCCCAAAATGCCTGTATGGTCTCACAGGTCCACCACATGTAGAAGAATATCCCTTTCTGTTTCCTATACCACTACCTTGTTGTGATTTATCTGTTTTCACCAATGCTGTGGTGATAGAACATCTACAAAACATTTAATACAGATTCTCCCTAATTGATCCAGATAGTGGAAATTTGAACCTTTTGTTCCATCAATATTCCGTTTTCCAATTCTATTGGTCTACTTAGGTCCTTGGCCTAGGATAACATTACTGTCTTGACTCTGTTATCCTCCATGTTGTAACTTAATATGTATTTGTATAATCTGGACATTAACCCTATGTTTCCCTTTTCCCAGATTCTTTCCAATACTGATTTTATGGGTTTTTTTCTTGACAAGAATTGTTCATACAGTAGAAGCTCGCTTATCCAACCTTCGCTCATCCAACGTTTTGTATTATCCAATGCAGTCTGCCTCCTCCCCACATCCACAGCTGTTTCAATACATTGCAGTGTTTTGTGCTAAATTCGTAAATATAGTAATTACTACATAACATTACCGTGTATTGAACTGCTTTTACTGTCAATTTGTTGTAAAACATGATTTTTTTTTTGTTTTGGTTTTGTTTTGTTTTTTGTCGTGTCAGGAGCGAGTTAAGAAACTGCAAGTTGCTTCTGGTGTGAGATAATTGGCCGTCTGCAAGGGAGTTACCCAGGGGACGCTAGGATGATTTTGATGTTTTTATCATCCTTGTGGGAGGCTTCTCTCATGTCCCTCCTTATTATCCAACATTTTTGCTTATCCAACATTCTGTTGGCCTGTTTATGTTGGATAAGTCAGTTTCTACTTATCACATTTTCCTTGCTTCCTCCTAAGACTGAAGGAATATACCTTGCCTATTGTCACCCAGTGGCTTTCCATGGCCAAGCAGGGATTTAAACCTTTGTTTGTTGTCCAATTCTCAAACCATTGAGCCACACTTCGTTGATTTGTTAATGCAAGAAAGGTTCAAAACATCATTTACTAATATCTCCCAGCTTCTCTCCATCTTTGTAACGTCTTTTGCTCCTTCTGCGGCTTAGTATCTGATTTATGCCTGCTCTTCTCTTGTAAACTATTTGCTTCAAAATTCATAATTTCTATTTTCTTTTTTTCTTAAAGGAAGCGTGATACAATGCAGAATATTGTACAGATCTTGGAATCCGTCCAGTTAAAGTGGGAACAGTTTCAGAGCTGGACAGACTTCTCTAGGCTCCATCTTTCTAACAAACTCGCCATCTTTGGCATTGGCTATAACACGCGGTGGAAAGAGGATATTCGATACCACTACGCTGAAATCAGTTCCCAAGTTCCCCTTGGCAAACGTCTCCGGGAATATTTCAACTCGGAGAAGCCAGAGGGCAGAATAATCATGACCAGGGTACAGAAAATGAACTGGAAGAACGTTTACTATAAATTCCTTGAGATCACTATTAGCGAGGCCCGGTGCCTGGAGCTTCACATGGATATTGACTGGATCCCTATTGCTCATTCCAAGCCAACAGGTGGGAATATTGTCCAGTATTTATTACCTGGTGGCATTCCTAAAAGCCCTGGTCTGTATGCCATTGGATATGAAGACTGTCACGAGAAGCCACGGTCTCCTGACCATGAAGTCATCACCCACGACCCTGAAAACGAGACTCTGGGGGAAGTGGAAATGCCCTTGACGCAAACCTCCGTCAAAGTGGAGATGCAATCTACGCGAATCATATATTGTTACCTCGGCATTGCTGAGGTTAGGACTCTCCAGCAGTGCTTGTTCTTACACTTTCAGGCAAACACCAAAACCTTCAGCAAAGACTGGGTTGGGATCAATGGATTTTTATCTCAGAACTGCATTGTAGACCCAGGGATTTCTCCCAAGTCCATCTACATCAAATTTGTGGAGGTGGAAAGGGACTTCCTTTCTGCTGGCTCATTGGTAGAGTGCCTGGAAAAAGCCATTGGGTACTCCTTGAAATTTAACAACTGAGTTCCGTCCTTCATAAGGATCAGGGCTTTGACTCCTGGGTGGCATTTGGGCATCTTTAACTGGACGAAAGGAGCCTTTGTGAAAGAACTTGAATGACAACAAATCCATATTTGGAGGCGATTTCCCAAAAAGTGTTTCCTAAGTCAGTGAAATATACATTCTATTTGCTTGGGCCAATCAGCAGGTTTTGAAAAGCAAAGACTTTGAAAGGGAGCCTTGTAAATATAGTGACTGTTGGTACATTCCACGTCGAACGAGCGTACACTTTAAGTTTTCATACGAAAAACTGTTTTCCACAATGTCTCATTTTTACACATCTGTCTCTCTATATGTGTTATTACAGCTGTGTAATAAATAAGCAATAGATCATGGCAGGTTTCAATTTGGAGTCACACAAGACTGCTTTTCAGTGCCACTTTTAACCTCTCTTGTATATAAGTTATAGCATTTCACACTTTTTCAACCATCAAGTGTTTTTTACTATTTCCAACCAGTGTTGCCTGCAAGATACCTTCTGTTTCTGTGATATATCCCACTTTCCTAGTAGTGTTGCCATATCAATTTTATTTTTGTTTTGTTGGATTTTTTTTTACATTAAAGTAATTCTGGTCTTTTTTTACAAAAAAAAAAGGTTATCCTTTTTGTGTGGCAGTGAAAGTAACTCAACCACTGGGAAATGTTTAATCAAACCATGCTTTTTGTTAAATGCAATCAAAGCTGTGAGATAGGGGCGGGACAGGGTGGGAATGGGAAAGTTGTGGGATCCGGGGTACTCAGCATTTTTAATGCCGCGTCAAAATATCACTATATAAACCCCATTATGCTGCTGGCAAGTTCCAGATTTTTTTACATTTCTTTTTTTAAAAAACTTCATTGATCCGTGGAAGTTGTGACATAACAATGAATGTGTCAGTCCAAATAAAAGCAAGCAAATCCGTCGATTTTTCAGAAATGTGTTCTTACTTGGTATCTTTCAGGATTTAGAAATTAACTCATATTCATGTGAAAATATGTTTTGTTAATATTGTCTAAAATGTTTTCAAATGTATGACAACCTACCAAAGGTTTAAGGGAGATTCCTCCAGGCTTACTCTCCAAAATTAGTGTAACATATTAGTACCTATTCAGACATTTATTTTCTGTCAAGACATTTATAAACTGAAGACCGACAGGTTGCAGGTTCGAATCTGGGGAGAGGCGGATGAGCTCCCTCTATCAGCTCCAGCTCCTCTTATGGGGACATGAGAGAAGCCTCCCACAAGGATGATAAAAACATCAAATCATCCGGGCGTCCCCTGGGCAACATCCTTGCAGACGGCCAATTCTCTCACACCAGAAGCGACTTGCAGTTTCTCAAGTCGCTCCTGACACGACAAATGTATATATATATAAACTAATACACTGTGGGTTTCTGAAAACAGTATGACTGTGATTTTCTATACCGTATATGCACGAGTGTAAGCCAAGTTTTTCAGTCCTTTTTTTAGGCTGAAAAATGCCCCCTTGGCTTATACTTGAGTCAAAGTTATTTATTATTTTACTCTTGTTATTATTTTATCTATATAAATAAAAATGTACTGTTCATTTGTGGGATTAACAGAACTCAAAAACCACTGGACTAATTGACACCACATTTGGACACAATACACCTATCAGGCCAACAAGTGACCATCACTCATAAAAACACTGAAAAACACAGCAGAAGAGACTTAAAAAGCCAAAAAAATAAATAAAAAATACATTACAACGCATGCACAAAACCACATATATACACAAACACACATATATACACATATACACAAATATATATACACACAAAACACATATACACAGGGATGGCTAGTTACATTTATTATTTTACTCTATTATTGTTATTACATTAATTATTTTACTCTATTTATTATTGCTATTACATGTATTGTTTTACTCTATTATTATTACATTTATTATTTTACTCTATTGATTATTACATGTAATATTTTACTCTTTATTATTGGAGGGATATATAAGCACATTTACATTATTATTACATTTGCTATTTTACTTTATTTTACTGCATTTATTATTTTACTCTATTTTTATTACATGTATTATTTTACTCTATTATTGTTTGTTATTATTACATTTACATTATTTTAAAAGGTACAGGTTTCCCCTCACATTAGGTCTAGTCGTGTCTGACTCTGGGGGTGGTGCTCATCTCTATTTCTAAGCCAAAGAGCCAGCGTTGTCCATAGACATATCCAAGGTCATGTGGCCGGCATGACTGCACAGAGCGCTGTTACCTTCCCACCAAAGCAATACCTATTGACCTACTCACGTATGCATGTTTTCAAGCTGCTAGGTTAGCAGAAGCTGGGCCTAACAGTGGGAGCTCGCCCTGCTCACTGGATTTCAACCGCTGACCTTTCATTCTGCGAGTTCAGCAGCTCAGCGATTTAACCTGCAATTATATGGCATAATCATATATACTTATGGATAGGTCTAGAAAAATTTTGTTAAAAAATCAATCCCCAAAAACTGGGTAGACTTATCCACAGGTCAATGTAAATACTGAACCTTAGCCCTTATCAAAAACACGAACAATGCACTTCTCCCAGTAGAGCAACAAATGGCAAACATTTAGTCCATCCTGGGAGATCCTGAAAGAATGGAGGATGTTGGGCCTTTGAGGCAGCATTGGGGCTTCCCACTCTCCATGGAGCAACCCTCAATTTGTCCAGCGGTCATATCAAAATCCATCATTTTGGCCCCAAAGCCTTTCCTCAACTTATACATGAGGTCAACTTAAAGAGTATATATGGTAATGATAATTACTGTGTTTCTAAATTTCAACTGAAATTCAGTTATTTGTTTATGAACATCTTTTTATCACACCCTGTGGAGTCCCCTGTAGCGCAATGGGTTAAAACCTTGTGCCGGCAGGACGGCTAACCAATAGGTCAGCAGTTCGAATCAAAATCCAGGGAGAGTGGGTTGAGCTCCCCCTGTCAGCTCCAGCTTCCCATGAAGGAACATGAGAGAAACCTACAAGGAGGTTAAAATATCTGGACATTCCCTGGGCAATAGGTGAACTATAAATCCCAGCAACTACAACTCCGAAATGTCAAGATTCTATTTCCCTCAAACTCCACCAGTGTCCACATTTGGGCATATTGAGTATTCGTCTAGAGTTTGGTCCAGATCCATCATTGTTTGTGTCCACGGTGATCTCTGGATGTAGGTGAACTACAACTCCAAAACCAAAGGACACTGCCCACCAAACCCTTCCAGTATTTTCTGTTGGTCATGGGAGTTCTGTGTGCCAAGTTTGGTTTAATTCCATCCTTGATGGAGTTCAGAATGCTCTTTGATTGTAGGTGAACTATAAATCCTGGCAACTACAACTCCCAAATGACAATTTTTTTTTTGAGTGAAGGACATACATTGGGTTGTTAGGTGTCTTGTGTCCAAATTTGGTGTCAATTAGTCCAGTGGTTTTTGAGTTATGTTAATCCCACAAACAAACATTACATTTTTATTTATATAGATTCTGCAATTACAGATTGACTTCTAAAGCCCGATGTGCTGCAACTATACATTTCATCTGGGTATGCAAGGACAGCTCTGTGCAGGCTTCTGTGTGCCATAGCAATTAGAGGTAAGTAAACAAATACTTGCACAAGTTGTTACTACATCCGATTTGTAAGATTTCAACAGTTTTCTGTGCCCTCTAGAAATACCACTTTTTTTGTACTCCCAAATATGATGCAATCGGTACGACTTTTGTAGCACTTTCATTGGCTAAACAGTGAAGTAATACAAACAGTCCTGTGTGGGAATAAGATAAAGGCAAAAGTTTCCCCTTGGCATTAAGTCTAATCATGTCCAATTCTGGGGGTTGGAGCTCATCAAATATATATGAAACCATATTTTATATGCTATGTTTTTAATTCTATTTTATATGTTGGGGGGCAGTGTTTCTCAACCTTCCTAATGCCTCGACCCCTTCATACAGTTCCTCATGTTGTGGTGACCCCCAACCATAACATTATTTTCCTTGCTACTTCATAACTGTCATTTTGCTACTGTTATGAATCGTCATGTAAATATCTGATATGCAGGATGTATTTTCATTCACTGGACTAAATCTGGCACAAATACTCGATAGGCCCAAATTTGAATACTGGTGGGGTTGGAGGGTTAATCAATTTTGTCATTTGGTAGTTGTAGCTGCTGGGATTTGTAGCCCACCTACAATCAAAGAGCATTCTGAACTCCATCAATGATGGAATTGAACCAAACTTGGAACAGAGAACTCCCATGACCCAACAGAAAATACTGGAAGGGTTTGGTGGGCATGGACCTTGAGTTTAGGAGTTGTAGTTCACCTACTTCTAGAGAGCACTGTGGACTCAAAACAATGGTGGATCTGGACCAAATTTGGCACAGATACTCAATATGCCCAAATTTGAATACTGGTGGGGTTGTGGGGGAGGGGGATTGATTTTGTCATTTGGGAGTTGTAGTTGCTGAGATTTATAGTTAACCTAAAATCAAAGAGCATTCTGAACCCCATCAACAATGGAATTGAACCAAACGTGGGACACAGAAAATACTGGAAGGGTTTGGTGAGTATTGACCTTGAGTTTTGGAGTTGTAGTTCACCTACATCTAGAGAGCACTGTGGCCTCAAACAATGATGGATCTGGACCAAACTTGGCACAAATACTCAATATGGTCAAATGTGAATACTAGTGGAGTTTGGGGGAAATAGACCTTGACATTTGGGAGTTGTATTTGCTGGGATTTATAGTTCACCTGCAATCAAAGAGCATTCTGAACCCCACCAATGACAGAATTGGGCCAAACTTCCCACACAGGGCCCCATGATCAAAAGAAAATACTGTGTTTTCTGATGGTCTCTGGCGACCCCTCTGACACCCCCTCGTGACCCCCTCAGGGGTCCCGATCCCCAGGTTGAGAAACACTGTTGCAGGGCATCGAACGGTGCCGAATGGAAACCGCCTTGAGTCGCTTTTTGGCTGAGAAAGGCGGCATAAAAATATGGTAAATAAATAAATAAATCTGTTTCTAAGCCGAAGAGCTGGCATTGTCCATAGACCAGTGGTTCTCAACCTCTTCTCCCTTTGGGATCTCCAAATGGAGACGAGGAGGAGGAAGAGCCCAGAGGAGAAGGGCAAGGCAAACCCCGCTGGTGCTGCCGTCCCTGCACCCTCTTCTCGCTGCCCTTCGAGGCCTCCGCTGCTGTTGGAGGCCTCAAGAAGCAGCGAGAGGAGTGTGGGGTGGCAGTGAGGCTTTCCTTCGCCCTTCTCCCTTCTCTGGGCTTTTCCTCCTTCTCCTCCTCCTCTTCTCCCTTTGGGGTCTCCAAATGGAGACGAGGAGGAGGAAGAGCCCAGAGGAGAAGGGCGAAGGCAAGCCTCGCTGGTGCTGCCCCCTGCCCCCCGTGTACCCTCTTCTTGCTGCGAGTCTCTCCCAAACCTCCCCAGCAGTGTTCCTCAACCTAGGGGTCGGGACCCCTGGAGGGGTCATGAGGGGGTGTCAGAGGGGTCACCAAAGACCACCAGAAAACACAGTATTTTCTGTTGGCTATGGAGGTTCTATGTGGGAAGTTTGGCCCAATTAAATTGTTGGTAGGGTTCAGAATGCTCTTTGATTGTAGGTGAACTATAAATCCCAGCAACTACAACTCCCAAATGTCAAGATTCTATTTTCCCCAAACTCCACCAGTGTTTACATTTGGGCATATTGAGAATTTGTGCCAAATTTGGTCCAGATCCATCATTGTTTGAGTCCACAGTGCTCTCTTGATGTAGGTGAACGACAGCTCCCAAAACTCAAGGTCAATGCCCACCAAACCCTTCTAGTGTTTTCTGTTGGTCATGGGAGTTCTGTGTGCCAAGTTTGATTCAATTCCATCGTTGGTGGGGTTAAGAATGCTCTGTGATTGTA